CTATCTCGATCTATCTATTTGTATATCATCTCTATCACTCTATCTCCATCCATCCATCCATCCATCCATCCATCCATCCATCCATCCAGTGTTATCCATGGAGTGTGTGTGTGTGTGTGTGTGTGTCAAACTAATCGGTTTGATAAAAGCAGCACTGTGCCATTATGACACAACCCTAACCCCTTTTGCATGTCACAACATGGTCAAAAAAGTCAAAATAGCAGCCACCATGGTGCAATTGAAGCTCTGCTGGTTTTTTATGTGCAACTTATACTTTGTAACTTCCTGGGAGAGAAAATAGAGGAAGGAATTAGACATTGAGAAGAGATTTTTGGCTCAGGAGAATACGGAAGAAGTCTCAGAGCCGGTCCTGGTTCTCCACGTTCTTCCAAGACAATCAACCAAAACGAATGAACTTCATCTACAAAAGGAAAGTCTGATTCTGGCCTGGTGCCCCCTCATGATTCTTCCATCCACTCCGTTAGCTTGCATTTTTTTCTAGAGAAAGTAAGAATAGGAGCAGCTGCTCTCCTGGAATGGCTCAACTGAATGTAAAGCAAAGCAACATTTGCTCACAGCACAAACTGTCATCTCAGCCATTGAGCAATGAGCTTAGCTTAAAAAGAATTTGGATCGATGAAAAAGCAACATTGAGGTTTTTGCTCAAAAGCCTACAGAAAGACCCCCATCTTTATTGGAGCCCAAGCAGACAACCTAGCAAAGCCACATTCCTCAGGACTGAGAGCTAATAAATCCCAAGCTAATAAAGTTGTAAATGTATCTCTGGACAGAGGCACACAAGCAGTTCAAGAAGTTATCTCATCAAAGCTTGCTCACTCCCTGCAGTTAAATCAGGTAGCTCTTCATCTATCTTTGAATAGCATTAATTCCTGTCACTGATTCTCCAAAACAGTAGTCATAACCTCTTTGGGACACCTTCTTCGCTGCTGCCAAGAGATTTATGTATGGTGGTCAATGAATCCTACTGACTTTCAAGCAAGCTATGATACCTCCTACATTGCTTAAAATGAAACCATTTCTTGCCAGTTAGAGTTTTTCATGATGGAAAGGCAACCCCTTTGTTCAATTGTGTTAATTTTGAACTACACAGTCCTCCAGATCATAAACCTGTTATTAATGACAGAAGCTCCTTTCTTTATTTGCCCTTGACTAAGCCAGGCCAGGGGAGTAAAACTGATATGCAGAATGAGGCCAAGTTGATGCCAGTGAAGCTGTATTTACTGGTGGTATTGGATCAAAGTTGAGCAAGAAGATGTTTTACAAAGGCTAGATAGCCTTAGGAGAACTTTGTTAGCTACTATTACTCCTGCTGAGCTGTTCATGGAACTGGGGTCACCCAAAACATTGGGACATTATCTTTCTTCAGGAGATGAGGAGTTGGCCTTACCAGATGATCAGAGGTAGAGCCCCTTCTCCTTCATGAAGACGCTGAACAGAACTTCCTAGATTCTAACAAGCTCCTTTATGGAAGTTCAGCCTCAAATCTTGTGGAGCCCATCCATTCTGTGCCTTATCCTTCAAATTTGAATGTCTGTAAAGTAACACATTCAATCTTCCAACTGAAGGCTACTTGCCAGTCTCAAAACTCTGCTCCAGTTGAGGCGGTTCCATCTGTGATCCCATGCCTCTCCTGAAATGCCCTCATCTCCTTTAATTGGAGACCCTACAGGACTAATCAGATCATCAGTTGAGATACTGAACACCAACTGGCTCTCCAGTGATAATGGTTCAATTTCCATTCTCTCTTGGAACATTGCTGGCTGGAAAGTAAAGAACATGAACGCTTCCTTTCTGGAATATATTAGTGCAATGTTTCTCAACCTTAGCAACTTTAAGACGTGTGGACTTCAGCTCCCAGAATTCCCCAGCCAGCCAGGAGAAACACTGTATTAGTGCCTTTGATATCTTATTGCTCCAGATAATGTGGATCATGGATGATTTATTTCTATCTGGATATACCCCCTATACACTCTAAGCATTACCCAGTGTAAAAAATGGAAGACCTTCAGGAGGTTTGAACATAATGGCTACCACAGCATTTAACATCTCTGTGACTCTGTTGGAGCCATGTGCCAGCATGGTTCTAGCCCTTCTGTCTCATCTTAAGCCACATAATATGTTACTTATCAATATATATCTTCCCCCATTACGCAGATACAATAAAGTTAATAGTCCTTGAGATCTTCTTGATAATATAATTACTGGTCTACTTTGCCAATACCCAGATGCACTAGTGATTATTGCTCATGAGTCAGATGCTTTCTTACAAGCTTATTTTAACTGGTGTTTCTCCTCAAAGAAGGGGAGCTCAGCGATGTAAAGATGAACACTGTAATATGGCAGGTTTCCAGTTGGCCCAGTTTATAGATAGTCTGGGTTGGATTACGCTAAATGGCTCTGCTAGGAGGGAAATACTGAATTAACCTTTTGGGGCTCCAAAAGACCAGTGTGACTGACTATATTACGGTTCCATGCATTTATGCTAATTTAATAACCTCTTTGTATGTTGGAAATCACCCTGATAATGACCATTTCCCATTCATCTGCCAGTTGAATCATAAAACAATGACTAAGTTTCTAGGTGTAGCTCACTGTCCCCTTGGGGCCACAATACAAGGGCACATTCAGAATAAGGGTTTTTCAGAGCGGCAAAAATCTTGTTTGTTCTGTTGAATTCAGAACCCCTCCTTCAACTCTGCTCGCCAATTTGTTTAGCTGATTCCTCCAAACAAGAGTTATCCCACAATTAGTCTATCATTCCATCAACTTGCTCAAGACCCCCCTCCACCCCCGTGAGATCCAAACCTTGGTTGGGTGCAGATTGTTATAAAGCAAAAAAAAAGCCCTTCTCATTACAGTATTTACTTTTTGATCTCACAAATCATTAGGTTCCTTTCAATCACTCAAAGCGCAAAAGAAGATCTATCATATTCTTTTAAAATTGGAAAAAGATCAAGCATTGAGAGAGGATTGGGGGAGATTAATTGCAGCAGCAAATTTTAAGAACCTTGCCTAGTTCTGGTTTCAGTCTGTTTCACTGCTCTCCTTGAATCCTATCTGCACAATACCTGCAGAGATTTGAAAGAATGACTTTCAAAGCATTTTCAGTGTAGAATTATTAAACAACCAGCGGTGGTCCCCATTGTAATGTACCTCCCGAAAAGCCATTTGTGTCTAGAGCCGAAGTTAAGGATCTCAACATACCATTGAAACCTGGAAAAGGTCCTGGAGGTAATTTCATCCTTCTAGAGTTCCTAAAGGAAAATAAAGATTGGTGGGCCCCAGCGCTGGTTGTCCTATTTACTCATATTATTAACGGCACAGCACGTTTTCCTTCTGATGGGAATGAGGCCATGGTTATCCTTTTCTATAATTTCTATAATAATTCTATTATAATTTCTATAATATATTGTATTGTATTATATAAGAATAAAGGAAATAATATGATTTTTACTGAAACTTTTAAAAAAGAAGCTTAAAATGAATACAAACTAATATAAAGTAAGGAAGAAAAAGAAAATGGGTGAAAAAAGAAAATTAGATACAGTACAAGTGGGGAGAATGCTTTTCTTTTTTCTTCCTTACTTTATATCAGTTTGTTTTTATCTTCTTTTTTTAAAAAATTCAGTAAAAATCATATTAAAACAAAGAAATAGACTTAGCTCTATCAATTACAGACTTGATAGCTTGCCTTGCTTAATACAATATGCAAAATACCTTCATTTAAAACTATTGGATTGGCTTCAAAGTGAAAACATCCTTGCTGAGGAGCAGATGAGATTTAGAGGGATTTAGATTTTGAACATTGGACCACTGTCTGGCCCTGCAGCATTTAGCTGAAAAATACTCCTTCCTTCCTTCCTTCCTTCCTTCCTTCCTTTCTATAGCCACCCATCTCAAGCCAAGTGACTCTTATCCCCCAAGGGCACCCTTTATTCAGCCTTTGTGGATTCAAATCAGCTTTTGATTTGATTCCAAGGGAGAGGTTGTGGGAAAACGTACAGGGATGCTCAGTGGGAAAAAGACTGGTCCTTCTTATCTAGACTTTTTATTCAAGCACCTCATTGAAATTCAGATGTTCCCCCGAGCAGTGGGGTGCTGTAGCTGGCTTGCCCTGGCTCACGAGAACCGACTGCTAAATTTTCTGGAATTTTGGCAGCCTCGGAGCCTAGTGCACCAACCAGCTGTTCTGCAGCTAGGGCCCTGGCTGGGGGCAATAGGGCCAGCGGAGCTGATCCTTAAAAATTTAGCAGCACATTTATCTATCTATCTATCTATCTATCTATCTATCTATCTATCTATCTATCTATCTAT